CCTCCCCTGCTCTCCTTCATCCTGGCCATTTCTGATTAATGAAATTAGAGATTTTACTCATTTTTTTCCTGGTTAGGTTAGCTGAAGGTTTATCTATTTTATTGACCATTTCAAAAACCTTTTTGATTTATTGATCTGTGGTATAATCCTTTTGTTTTCAATTTCATTTATCTCTGCTCTAATTTTGGTTATTTCTTTTTTTCTGCTGAGTTTGGGATTGGAATGTTCTTCCTTTTCCAGTTGCTTGAGATGTCCCATTAAGTTGTTGACTTCCTCTTTCCGTTCTGTTGAAAAAGGCTTGCAGTGCTATAAATTTCCCTCTTAGGACTGCCTTTGTGGTATCCCAGAGGTTCTGTTAATTCTTGTCTTCATTATTAATTTGTTCCAAAAATTTGGTAATTTCCTTCTTGACCTCATCTATGACCCAGCTATCATTCAGCTTAAGGTTATTTAGTTTCCATGTTTTTGTATGAGTATGTGGATTTCTGTTGTTACAGAGTTCAACTTTTATTCCATGATGGTCCGAGAAGATGCAAGGAATAATTTTTATTTTGTTGGAAATATAACTTGCAAAAATCCTCTCCCATTCTGAGGGCTGTTTATTTGCTTTACTTACTGTGTTCTTGGTAGTGCAGAAACTTTTTAATTTGATTAGATCCCAGTAATGTATTTTTGATGTTGCTTCAGTTTCCTGGGGTGTCTCTCATAAAGTATTCTCCCAGACCAATTTTTTCAAGTGTTTTCCCTGCACTCTCTCCAATAATTTTTATAGTTTCATGTCTTAAGTTTAAGTCTTTAACCAGTGAGAGTCAATTTTTGTTAAAGGAGAAAGGTGTGAATCCAGTTTCATTCTTCTACAAGTCACCAGCCAATTCCCCCAGCACTATTTGTTAAATAGGGAATCTTTCCCCTCTTTATATTTTTGATAGGCTTATCAAAGATCAAATGATGATAAGTGTCTGGGTTCACCTCTTGGTCTTCAATTCTGTTCCATACATCTACCTCTCTACTTTTGTGCCAGTACCATGCTATTTTGATCATTATAGGTTTATAGTAAAGTTTGAAGTCTGGAAGCGTGATTCCTCCCAATTTGTTTTTATTTCTGAGTAATGTTTTGGCTATTCAAGGTTTTTTCCATTTCCATATAAAACAAGTACTAATTTTCCCAGATCTTTAAAGTATGACAGAGGTGCTTTAACAGGGATTGCATTAAAACTGTAGATTGCTTTAGGTAGTATAGACATTTTAACAATGTTGATTCTTCCCAGCCATGAGCATGGTATGTTTTTCCATTGTTAACATCTTCAGCTATTTCTTTTCTCAGAGTTTCATAGTTCTTTTTACAGAGATCTTTCATGTCCTTAGTTAGATACACTCCCAGATATTTCATTTTCTTTGGCACTATTGTAAAGAGAATAGAGTCCTTGACAACTTTTTCAGCTGGACTATTGTTGGTATATATAAAGGCTACAGATTTGTGAGTGTTAAGTTTGTATCCTGATACATTGCTGTATTCCTTGATCACTTCTAGGAGTTTTGTAGTTGAGTCCCTGGGGTTTTCCAGATATCCAATCATATCATCTGTAAAGAGTGACAATTTGATCTCCTGTGGTCCTATTTGAATCCCCTTGATTGCCTTCTCTTGCCTGATTGTGATAGCTAAGCCTTCCATTACAATGTTAAAAAGCAGTGGAGACAATGGGCATCCTTGCCTGGTTTCTGATCGGAGTGGAAATGATTTCAGTTTTATTCCATTCAGTACAATATTGGCTGTGAGTTTGCTGTAGAGGGCCTCTATCAGTTTAAGAAATGTTCCTTCTATACCTATTTTCTTAAGCATTCTGATCAAGAAAGGATGCTGGATATTACCAAAAGCTTTTTCTGCATCAATTGAGAGAATCATATGGTCTTTGTATTTTAATTTGTTTATGTGATGTATTATATTTATGGATTTACATATATGGAACCATCCTTGGGAACCTGGGATGAAACCCACCTGGTCGTGATGTGTAGTTTGTTTGGTGCGTTGTTGGATTCTGTTTGCTAGGATCTTATTGAATATTTTTGAATCAATATTCATTAGAGATATTGGTGTATAATTTTCTTTTGTTGTTGGGTCTTTTCCTGGTTTGGAAATAAGGGTGATATTTGGTTTATAGAATGTGTTGGGAAGTATTCCTTCTTTCTCTTTTTTTTGGA